ATCAGAAAAAAAAAATTCAGAAAAGAAAACAGAGCTGCGATAGGAAAACGATTTCGCCGTATAGAAATTTAACGTTTTCGAATAATGACGTTTAAACATTCGTAATAAACGCACACAGAATAAATATCTATTTTCTGAAAGTTTTTAGTGAATCGAGCCAGTGTTATATTTACGAAGGGGGAGGAGTCCATGAGGGTTCGGACCCACTCATTCGTATCTATATATCTAATATATATATATATATTTATATTAATAATATATTTTGTGCTAATATTATTAGTTATAACTACGTGGTGATCTTTATAACTATTTTCTATTGGCACTTTTTCCTATGGGTGCTTATACTCGTATATAAACATTTATGTATTTTAAATTTAAATTTTTCCTTTATACTGCCTTTCTGTAAGCAATTTCAGAAAGAACGCATTGATTTTAAAAATATTTTGACTAGGTACTATTAAACTATTAATTAATATTTTAAAAGAAACGAGACAGGATGCAGAAAAATGATTTCTTCTTTTATATATATATATGATAAAGTAAAAGTATGTGATTTAAGTTTAAAAATAATGTAACTTGGATAGAAATTAATAATTAATTTCCAATATTTTTCATAATTTAGCAAATGTTATTGGCACCGAGATATCTAAAAAAACAATAAAATAGATCGAATCTTTAAGTATCTTCTGTAGATTATTATAGAGTGATAATATGTCATTTATAGACAGTTTTATCAAGCAACTTACTTTACTTACAACTTGTTTTTTAAAATATAAACCAATATTTGAAGGTACTAGATATAGCCATTGATTTATCTACGTTATTATAAAAAAATTATATTAAATATTTATTTTTTTTTTTTGTATCCTTAATAGAGTTTGAATGTTTTTTCAGTTCAATATTTTTGTAAATGTTGAACATCTGTATGTACAAAGTAACCATTCTACATCTGGAAGTGTTGAATTTGAGAATTCGATCGAGTTTAATTTACCACCAGTTGAAAGTGATAAATGATAATGCTTTTACTGAAATAAAAATACGGAAAATGAAAATAACCAGTTAAGATGTTAACATCAAAAGTGAATAGAAGCATTTCTGAGCTGCCAAAAGAATGGTTTTCCATATGTATATTTTTTAATTAAATTATTTTGCACATTATCAGTGTCAACAGCAGCATTAGAAAGATCTTTTCCTTATTAATAAATTTATATCATTATTATTGTATGTACCTATATATCACGGCTATAGATATTATAGTATTTATAGCTTATTTATACAACCCGATTCTGAGAACTGTTGTCTATCGACCCTCTGTATCAAATAATTTTGATTTCAAAGGTATTTTTATACCTTAAAGTCTTATATTCAGTTTATTTATATAGTTTTCTCGTTAGTTTCAAAGTTCACCTACATTCACCAAAATTTATTATACATAAAAATGTTAACATAAAATATAATTATCATTTTAGTAATGGTCTCAGGATTTTAAGTTTAAGTGTTCGTCAATCTGATCTGATTTTTTTTTCTATCAGTTTTAAGAGAACTGCTATGAGTCTTTAATTTTGAGAGTTTTGTACGTAATATTTATTCAGTAGGTACTCTGTAATAAAATTGTTAGACTTGGACAGAAATGCTTGCACATTTAACAAGAGGTTCATTAGGAGTCTTAATTTGTTAAAAAAAAAAATTAAGTTGAATGAAGTATTTTTTTTTATAAGCAAATTTCAATATCAAAGTTTGACGAAAATCATTCGAGTAAAAAATTATGTAGAACAAATCTAATGTTTTTTTTTTTTTTACATATGTGTGTATATTGCTGATTTAAGAACAATGGTGCATTATAGCTTTTTGAAATTCTGATATCATACGAATATTATATTATGTTATGATAAATAACTCTATATTGTTCTTAGAGTTTATTTTTCGTGATCTAATTTATGCCAAATATCATCCCAGGGGTTCCAAGTTCAAACCAGTGTGTCGAAAAAAAATTGTTAGAATTTTTTTCCCATTTAGTTAAACAAGGAAAAAATGAATGCATTTTGGATGTACCCAGAGATCCAAACCATCGCTCCCTCGGACTATTTTGATCGCAATATACCTCTTGATTTGTTGTACAAAATTTTCTACCAGAAAACTTGTTCCGATGTATCAAATGTAGCTTATTTTCTGAAAGGAAATTGTATCTTCATAGGAATTTAGAGAAGTCGTTTTTTTAATTTTTAAGCGGTTTTCATAATATCTAGGAAAAACTGGGATTAAATATTGAAAAATCGGAAAATTTACAAAATGTAGGTATTAATAAAAAAATATTATGGCCTTTTTTTTCTGTGTAAACCTTTTTACCAATAATTTCGCTCCGATTTAAAATGATAAGATTTTTTCTGAAAGGAAATCTGACTGGGGATGTACTTTAAAGAGGTCATTTACGTCTTTTTTTTTTTGCTGCAATAACAGGATAATCTCCGAAGATGTATTTACTTATCACTGATATAAGTCTATACAAGAGTTCTTTTGTACTTTATAACTTATTTTGTACATTAATATTCATGTTTAAAACCATTCACATAATATATTGTTTTATTGTCATTAAATACATTTTAAATGTCAACAACTAAGTATTTTCAACTTTTAAAATAGTTTTTAGTCCTTTCTGAACATTTCTTAAGATGTCGGTTTGTTACACCTATCCTTTCATATACTTAAGAGCCGATGGTATTATTATTTGACAGTATGATGGATACATATTATTCGCATAAGTGTGCGTATAACCAACTTATGAATTTATTTAAAAAAAAATAGAATTTGATTAAATATTTATTACATTTAAGTGTAAAAAGGACGAGTATGGTATACACAACTATCTTGGATACTTATAATTTGTTAAACTTTATTTTCACAACTATACATAAAATAATACAAATTAGACTTTGATGTCTTAGAAGGTTTTTCATTTTTATAAGCACATAAATAATAATTTATTTATAGTAATAATACTTACGACCTACTCTGTTCAGTAAACAAGAAGACAATTAATAATTATAGTATTTAATTATTTTGTAAAACAGGTACTGGGTAGGTAATATTTTCAACGAATTTTCCATAACTCTGCTATTATCCAACCTTTTAGTAAATTAATATTGCAAAATCATTTTAAAAAAGTTTTATGCATAATATTATAGTAATAATTACATACTGTGGTGACTATAGGTTAGTACTGTAATTTGTTGTAACGTAATCGTGTACACCTAAACATATTATTCATATTATTTTTAAAACTGCGAAGGCGTTTAATAAAATTCTGTTACTTAAAAACAAAATGCTACTATCAGTTATGTATATTCGGTATACACATTGTATAGGTACTATTTTACCGATTATATAAAAAAACGCAATAGAAAATGGTACGCTCGGTATTAAAGGAGTCGCGTATAGGCAACTTTTAATGCCTCTAGTATTTATTGTGCAATAAACAATTTTTTTTCAAAATAAAACATGTTGACGCGAAATAAAAAAACCTACTTATATCCTTCATAGTGATTTTATAGAGAAAAAACTTTATAGTAAAACAATAAAATTGATAGAGAGCAATAATATTATTACCGCGGAAGTATATTACGAATACAAAAACTCATTTTGTTAATATTTGTATACCGGATAATATTATAACGAAAAAAATACGTACTAGGATAATGGAGACGGGTGCAGCCACTGTTATAGGTAATTTAATGTATATCTGTAAACAACAATAGTGGCGGTTTTATGGGGTGGTCCAAGGGGTCTAGATCCCCCAGGTCCCGAATTTAGGCTGATATATATAATTCACTCGACACACCCGAGTTTTAACTAGCTTAATAGCTACGTACGTTTTTTATATGCGGATATACATAAATCTGGTGATTTAAATATTCAACCGTACGTCCGTATATTTGAATGTTTGTTTGGCTATTTATATTTTCTCCGAATTGAAGACATTTACGATATCGTCAATATCTACGATTGGTTATAATAATAATTGGTTAAAATTTGATATTAAAATTCCCTTACAAAAAAATACTATATTAAACACTTTTTTTTTTTACCACAAAGTAAGACTCTCAATAAACCTTGTGTTAAAATTTGAAGCATTTCTGTTCAAGTCTAACAATTTTACAATAGAGTACTTACCGAATAAATATTACGTACAAAACGCTCAATATATTTAATGTCTGTAAATACCTCAACAATTTTACCACGTCCATAAAAATCAAATATAAGTTTTTTATCAAATTTCAAGTCTCCACGAATATTTTTAACTGAATTACAACGAATAACAAAATTGAAAAATAATAAAAGCATTATTTTCGTAAATCTCCCATTTTTCTCACGTTTTATCCTGGTTTTTCCCAGACATTATGAAAACCACTTCGAAAATCAAAAAAGACCTCCCAAAAGACCATTTGGACAACATTTCCTTTTAGAAATGATGCCGCGCATATATATTTGAGCAAGATTTCTGGTACACAAAAAAAATAAAAAAATAAATAAACATCTTAGTAAAACCAATACATTCTTCGTTACACTCAGAATCTAAAGAAAGATAAATCGAGAAAATATATAACGTATTATATTTTTTTCGGTAGAAAAGTAATTAGATTATTCTCTCGTTAATCATTGTTTTTTCTCATTAATTGTCACATTTGGTAAGTTTGCCCCAGCTTACCAAAATATAGCCTGTTCAATAAAATTCGAAAATACATCTATAATGATACGCGGTTTTTATTTATTTGAATGCGCTTAATGGATATGGCGAATATTAAATTAAAAATAAATACAAAATAATAAATTACACGTACATACTATGCAATAATACAACATTATATTATTAACGCTAGTAAAACGTTAATAGTCGATTAGTTTGAAATTCTATTGAAAATACCTGTACTAATAATAAATTCTACTATACATTTGTTCGTTGTACCTATTACTATGGGTGAATATAGTGTGGAGGAACGTTGTATCTATGTGATATAGATTTTCACTGTACGTTCATTTGTTTTTGTTTTTTCTGTATGATATTGGTGGACAATTATTTCCATTATTAAAACGGTTAGAGAAACAATGACACCGACCGATAAGAAAACCAAAAGTGACGCTATGTCTTTGATTCCTACGCTAACCAGAGATTCTTCGGTCTTAGTTTTGCCGGCCACACATTTTGGTTTCATTCCGTACCATTTTCGCAGTTCTCTTTCGACGAGTCCAGTTTCCATTAATACATCGTTTCTGAAACAAACGATAATTAATATTTATTATTATTATTATTTTTTTTTTTACTTAGATATAAATACTAATATAATTACGCGTAGTTGATTAATTTTTTGTAAGGCGATTTTTTCGGTACTAAATAGGCGGTTGCTTCCGGTTTGTTTATCGCAAATTCTGACAAGTCACATTTTTCTGCTTCCGAGAATATATTTTTTATTATCCAATAAGACGTCGACGGATCGGTGAAAAATGCATAATGACCTTTTCTGATCCGCTGTACGCCCTCTTTGACCACAAGATACTCCGATTTAGGATTAATTTTTTTATCGATAATTCGTTTCATATACGGATCGATTTCACCGTGTTTCTATTCACCCCACACAAACATAAATAAATGCATTCAGTAATAATATTTTTAATCATAAAACACTAAATGTACACTTACTTCAATAGCTTTAGTGACAAATTGGAGATTTTCGACTCCAACGTCAAATCCGCTTTCCTCTAATTTTTTCACAGAGTCGATATTTAATGTTACAGTGTGGCGCAATAAACTCGAGACTATACTCGACGAATAAAACTGATAAATTATCAAACTGAATACGAACATTAAAAAGACGATTAACCTGTTGCTAAACTTTGTGGGCTCTACAGCCGTGCCTGTAATATGAGTAAAAAAAAAAAATGTACCTATTATAGAAAAATTAAATGTTTAGTAAAAAGATGGTTTCAATAAAATAATTATACCTTGTTGACACAAAGCGCAGATTTTCAGTAAGAATATATCGGTAAACGCTTTCAACATGCACCTATTTTGAGACGATTCGAAATGTACGATCGTGTAGTGGACAAAAGTAGATAGTAACACCACTGCAATTAAGGAAAACCAAACAGATTTTCGAAAGGGCTGTAGGAATATGTTTATCGAATTTGTCGACGATCGGATATTGCGATATATGAAACAGGGTCTAGGTGAAAAATTAAAATAAAGAAGCGATATTAACGAAAGCCTTGGCGTATACGACACAGAACAAGTCTTTATAAAATATAAAAACAAAAATAATCGTATTTGGAGACAATATATTTCTGTGATTGTCACGAGAACGAAATATAGCTATTATATACTTTATGGTCCAAATTGAATTGGCCGCATAGTCGATGACATCGAGTCGTTCGAGCCGGATAGCGTTCAGGCAAACCGAGAAATCCACTTCTCCGGACTCCACCATTCCCACTATCCCATCCCATTTGTTATGGATTTTGTAACCCCACGAATTCGTCGATTTAATGTTCATTCTGTTGGAACAATATAGGTACACGGCAATATTGGCATTGTACAACGTTATTTAAAATTCGAAAAAAAAAATTGACCATAATCGTATTGTAACGGGTATAATAACAATATATTGTAAAATAAAAGTTGGGCACGTTGATCAATTTTTTTCAATTTCCTAGTTTTAGTTAAATTATCTAAAAAAAAATTAACTAAGCTAAATTAAAGTTGGTTTTAAAAGATAAATTAGTTTTAGTAACTAAATTAAATTATACATTTTCAACCTAACTTCAGTTAAGTTAAAAATTAAATTTACTATTTTTTAAAACAACCCCCTTAATATACACTCATCAATGTATTTTTTAGGTAATCTAATATTTAGATTTATATAGACTTACTATACAGAACTCGTGTATACTATGTCTCTGTATAAGTTGCTTATTCGTCGGGTAATATTTGTTACGTTATAATGATATTTACGTAAAAATACCTAATTACTTTTTTTACAAACAATTCGTAAGTAACGTTCTATAAATAAATTATTTTTAAACAAGCAACTAAGTTAAGTTAAAGAAATAACTGAGTTATTAACATACTAATTTATTTTCTATGTTTTTGTCAATTGAAAATCTCAAAAAAGTTACTTAATTTTGGACTTTTTAACTAGGTATTGCACAACTTTATTTGGCACCAAGAAAGAAATTAAGTCAAATTAAGTAAATTAAGTAAACATTTTGTATAAGTTTTAGTACAAGTAAATTAAATTTTAAATTACATATTGCAATTTAAATCAAATATAAAAGGGAGACAAATTCATTAGTCAAAATTATAGAAAATTGGTGGAAATTCCTTAGGATTAAAGATCTTTAGCCTTAATGTTTCTCAAGATAAAATAATGTCATTACGTCATGTTTAATATATTTTTCGTCAATGGGTACATTATGGCAAAGGCAAATTTTTCTAGAGCGTTTGACCGATCCAAATCGAATGTTTGTAAATATTTCACTATTTCTGTACTGGACGGTGCAGTAACATTGACTTCAGTGTTTTTGGTTGCGGGCCTACCTACGGGGTTAATCTAAAATAAAAAAACAATGATTAATTGATTCATCTGTAAAAATTAGGTGGGTATAGTATTCAAATATTCAAATCATATTCGTACTAAAGCGGCAACATTCACGGTCAAATTTTGTAAATTCAATCTTTCATCGAATTTCCATAACCGATTTCCCCATTGTCCGAAAGTTTCATTTAAAACGTCGATAACAAGTTTCCCCCTAGGTTTAAAAGCCGTTCGATAGACGTCAAAAATGTGCCATCTTTTACTAAACATATTCTTGTCTGTTTCATCGGGATACGCTAATAAGACTTCACTGTCTATTGTTAGGTTGATATTTTTTGATGCCAAAAAACTTTGAATGGTTTTATTCGAACTTGTTTCCATCATCATGAGCCAATGGTAACTCGCATTCCATAACCAACTTTCCGTAAACTTGGAAAAAAAATTCAGCATAGAATGTGTTTGTTTTACTATGATGTGTGCTTTATTTTTTATCTGTAAACAAATTTCTAATAATCTTGCTCCTATCAAAACATAACAAGAGAGCTTTTTATAGCACTTTTGATCCAGTATATTTACTAGTAATTTTATTTATTAGTTTATTTTACAATAAACAACTCTCACGATAATTGAGAAAATCCGGAAAGAGAACGTGTTGATAATTTGGGAAAAGGCCATTATTAATATTTTGTGAACATTTCTAGTTTTTTAGATTTTTTTTAACTGAATAACAACAAAAAACAAAATAAAAAATAATGATACCGTTATTTCCATAATTTCTCCGTTTTTCCTACGTTACTTCTCAATTATTAGAAAAACTTTAATGAAAATTAAAAATAACCTTCTTTACGCACCAATAAGGTCCACATTTCAACGAAAAGCTCTCTTGTATTTTTTTTTTTGGTAGAATAGTTGTTTAGAGACACAAAAGATAAAAATAATTATTCGAACTTCTTAAACTCATTATATAAAATATTATATAGTTTACTTGAAATAACATCCAATCTTTGTTACAAGACCAATCGACAATCACACCCAGTGAAGGAGAATACAACGACAATTCAAAAGACTTGTCTTTGTTGCTAAAATACCCGTACGCATCAGAATATCCATTGCGATACGTTACTGCGATATTTTTTTCATTGAGGTGTTTCATGTTTTTCATCCGGTCTGTGTAACGTTTTATATGTAATACAATTAATATACCGTTATATGTAACTATAATGTATATAGTTGATATAACACTGGAAATATGCATTTACCGGTAAGCGACCAACAAGTGAATAAAATAACACTGTCGAGATTTTTGACGTTTAAAAAATGTCCAATTAACTCTTGTTGAGCATCGAAATCGACTGATGAACCGACAGTGTTACAATATATTTTTATTAAAAATGGCAAAACCGCAATTATATTAGTGTACAGAGACATCGTTGTTGTGGCTGGCTTTTAACCGAGTACAATATGAAACGATAAGTACCTACGAGTTTTTTTTTTTTTGAAAATATATTTCACCGATAAATAATAATTATAATAGTCAGGCAATACAAAACAGCATGTTTGACAGTTTGTCACGCAAATTGCCTCGCATCAAAGACATTTTTAATGATATATTACACGGGCGGGTTTTTTTTTGTAATTTATTTAAAACAATACATTATAAGAACATTGAAATTCAATTTGAAATAAGTATCTACAGTATAGATTAGAGTTATACAGAAAAAAAAAACCTATTATAAATTCCATATTAATAAACGAATTATATTATTAATATTATATCTACTCGTATTTTTCTACTATTATTATTTTTTATTATTATTTATCGTATGACATATTCATGTATTGCTAAACAAATAATTTATCACTTACTTTTAGACTTGAGTGGAGCGAGGAATGTATTGGTTTTACATTGATGTTTTTTTTTCTGTGGACAACTTTTCTACCAGCAATTTTACTCCGATTTACAATAATAGCGAACGGTACTATTTTCTAAATAAGTGTTTTGTCCAGAAAAAAGTTACGTGGGGACTTATTTTCCGTCCGCTTATTTCACATAGCGAACGCAGTACCAGCACCAAACTGTAGTACCAAAATTTATTGCTGAATTAGTGCAGGCCAACGGTACTATTTTAAATATAAGTGCTTAATTTTCCAATGAAATATTGGATTTTCCGAAATTGTCCACAACGGACGTAATTTCAGCAACAAAATCTGTTATAAATTTATAACACCAATAATATAATTTTAATTGAAATACCCTATAGTACCAAAATTTAGTGCCAAAGTAGTCTTTATAACCAACGGTTCGCCAGTTATATTCATTAAATTGGTATATTTTTTTAACTATTATTATAGTAGGTATTTACATGTTTCACGAATTTCATGGGATATTTTTCATCACTGGTCGTATTTATTACAATATTAAACGGTAACTTCAAGGAATATTTATTATAGGGATTCGATACTAATAGTTTTTAAGGAGTCTGGGCAATTTCCATAGACTTGTGTACGTGACGTGTTTCTGTGTGTATATAAGATCAGTGGCCGTTTCGGTAGCATCAGTGGCGTTCTAAGGAATTTAAAATTGGGAGAAAGTTGTGGGTAATTTCTAGAAAAATATGTAAGGCGCACACCCTTTTAGTTATGATATTTAATATTATTTTTAATAATTTTAATATAAAAGAAAAAAAAAATACAAAATTTAATGCACTTTTTATTTTTATAATTAATCAATAATTTTTTGGTGCAACAAATATATTTATATTGTAATTGTAAATATAAACATTATTATCGTATAGTTATACGATGCGATAATGAATTTTCACATTCCTTACAAATTTAAAACGAATTGATTGCAAAAAAAAGAACGACCAATGGGGGATTTGAATCCCGTGAAACCCCCACCGTGTGTACGCCCATGGGTGACATAGGTACCCAGTACGATGCGACGAGATTGCCGTAATCGTTAACCGATAAGGAATCGGTTGTAGACTAAAATATATAAGTATCAAAATAATATGCACTCTGTAGTGACATAATTCTATGAATTATTATCATAATTCTATATTCTAATATATAAGTATACAAGTTGACAATAATAAACTATCTCATTATTATTATTCACTTTTATATTATGCAAATAATTGCGGATTTGGATAAAACAATTTTTATATTACATGAAATATTAATCAATTGATTACAATACAGAACTCTGATTGGTAATTACTGACTAGTGATGGTTAAAGTTGTTTTGTACTGTGAAATGTTTTAATTTTTAACTTTTTTTAGCGACAACAGCTATTCTATCAAAAATCGTATTGTAAATTATTTATAATGAAATGACTATGAATTCAATGTCGTAAAATTTGTTATATGACATGTACGCATCAACTAATGTTTAATATAATATATTTTACATTTATCAACTTTAGAGCACACTTATAATAAGGCTATAATTTATAATCTATATATAATATATATTTGGTGGTTAAAAATAAATATATACATAGTTGATAAATCTTTGTTTCCCTTTAAATATTTTTCATATTTCAAATAATTTAATATAGATAAGTACCTATTTATAATTAATTAAATTGGTATATTTATTTTTATCTCTGTAATCACGAAGTCACGACCGTTTGTTGTAAATGCCCGTTTTTAACTTTGACATTGGTATGATGGGAAAAAACATGCACATGTCACGATGTCAAATTTTGAAGGGTTTATAAGATCAATTTCAAAAATTTGATCTAGTATTTAATTTCGGTATTGCTGTTTGTATAGCAACACGATATTTACTTACTCTTTTCTCATTTAAAAAAGAAAAACGGTTTTGGGGTAGCATAACGTGCTTAAAAAGATACATATGAAGACTCTTTGTATTACGAATAGGTCACTGAACACGGATAGTATACTTTATAAAAGTCATTTTGTGTATTTTTTAAATAGTTTGCATGAGTCTATATAAAAGTGCGTAGAAGTAAAAACGGCCGGGAAATGTCGATAATTCGGTAACATTTACGGAGTTCTTATAAAAATATATTTTATATAAATAAATTGGCTATATTTTAACTAATAAGTACTAAATTAAAAATAGAAAATTCTACGAAAATAAAATGTGCAGGTATTATAGGCGTAGGTGTTTATGTAAGAAGATAATGGTTGATATCGTTATTTTCGTTTATTTGTATAATTATTAAATAGTATTTTAAATTGTGTTTTACTTTAATGCTTTCAGTCATTACTCATCATAATATCAAGAAAAATCTACAATGGTAGGTGGAGAAGACAACACAATATGTATACGTATCATATATATACATTTGTATATTGATTTTGCGACAAATTTTACTTAATTATTTAGAATTTAGATAATTTTATGGCCACAACCATTTGTTGAAAATCTTAAAGTTATATTCTTGTATTGATATTTGTGTAATATATTTTCCCTCTCAACTCAAACGTTTCATAAAATCAAAAATATGTTTTCAATTAATTCGTGTGATTACATTAAACTTTTACCATATTTTTAGAACCTACATTTTTTATCGATAGTAATAAAATGTTTTGGAATTTTAATTTTTAAAGATTCATAGTCTGAGGTAAATATTAGGGACCAATTATAAGGGCATGCTTTATTTTTAATATTTATATTAGTTACAAAAAAAAGAGCATAATACAACGGAGAAAGCAAATTATATAGTTTAAATATGAAGAAGGAAAATTATTCGCTAAAAAAGTTTTATTATTCAATTTTTTTTCTGGAAAAAAAAATTAGTTTATTTTATAACGATTTGATTATAATAATGATATTATGTTAGGATACACGAAAAAAAATACACCTGAATACTATTATTAATTTAGTAACATTTCGTAATAACTATACGAATTCAAATTCGAATACAAAATGTTTATCCCGTATATTTTTTCGTTTTTGTAATTTTTCGAAAACTAATAGTCAATGATAGAAAATGAAAATAATTTAGTCAAGTATTATCGTAAATTTTTAATTTCTAAAACTAAAAATTATAAAAATAATTTATTTTAAATTATGAGTGGAACGTAGATGTTTTTACAAAGATGTTTATTTATTTTTTCTGTGAACAACTTGACCACCATCAATTTCACTCTGATTTACAATGATAGCACTTTTTCTAAAAAGATATTTGACTGTGGAGGTATTCTAAGGAGGTAAATTTTTGATTTTCCCAGTAGTTTTCCCAATAAATAGGGAAAACAATAAGAAAATTGGGAAAATAGTTACAATATTACACAAATATTACTAAGGAAAATGTATAATGCATACATAATTATTTTACCATATTATGGCATATATATTGTTGATAAAGCAACATTATCAACTTAAATCCGCTCAGAATCGTTTTTTCGTTAGCAATGCAGTTTATCGTTACTTACAGATATACAAAAATTTCCCCTCTACTACCTTTCCAACTTCTCACTTACAACAGTGACCACACCTATGTGAAGTATGTCCGTCTTTTTCTATATACATCGTGACACCTCGTTCTTATAGAAACTGGTTTATGATGAAGGAGAGAGGAAATAACTTATAGGCTATATGTTATTTCTGGTTTACATTTATATGCAAAATTTCAGCTCAATCTGTTCAGTAGTTTTTTTTATTTTTTATTCAACGATGAACTTGAATTTCGCTTTGAGCTGCATATTGATAGAAACAAGAAATATGTATACGTTAAAATATTAAGCGCCAACCGAATATTCTGATATTATAATATTATGATTTGCACGAAAAACTGTCATCCGTGATCCGTAACTAAATTAAAAACAACTTATAACAACAGTATCAATTTAATTGATAAATATAAAAATATATGGGTATTCTAAATTTTATATTACAATATTTCTCAATAAATGATTAACATAAAATATTTGTATAGTCATATATTTAGCTCATCTATCTTATATAGTTTGAAGTATATACTTTAGGGGACGAGGTTAACATTTAAAATCGGCCCCATACATAAAATTTGATGATAACCACTGTTCGGACGACTATAGTTTTGAGTAGATTTACATAATTACGGTGTAATAATAAATAAGTACAATAATTTGTCGATTGGATCTATAATAAAATGCCAACTTCAAATAAAAATCAGTACTTGAATATCTTTTAAATCTTAGCGTAGCGGGGAGTGTATTGATTTTACTATGATGTGTGATTATTCTAGATTTTGAGTGTAGAGTAATTAATGCATCGGTTTTAATATTATCTGTGGTTTTTTTTCTGTCTGTGAACAAATTTTCTACCGGATATCATGTTCCTATTTAAAAATGGCAAGAGACATTTTTGTTGACTTTTTGGACGCAATTTCTGGAGTTAATTTGATTTTCCAAATAATTTTAAAAATAATTGGGAAAAACAAAAAAAAAAAAAAACGTATAAGAAAAACTGGCTATTTGTACGTTTTATGTATTGTACCAGAAATGTTGCTTCAAATTTCATAAATAGCATCTTTTCTGAGAGCAAATGTCTAACTGGTGAGTAAGTAGATCATTTTTGTATGTTATAAACAATTTTTATAATAACTGGGAAAAAAGGAAAAACAAACAAATTCACGATGTTAACAATTTCTATTGATATTCCAAATTAAAAAGAAGTGATAAACAGAAGGGCAAATTGCACATCACGAATGACGAAAGACTGCCACTGATAGCCGTTCAGTTAATTTAAAGATAAAAAAAAAAATCCAAAAATGATATTATTACGTTGTTAACTGTTTCAATCGTTTTTTCAGAGTTAAGGAGGAGCTGAGGAAGGAATTGGCAAAATTAACCCAGATAATAATAAGTTTATTTTTCTACATGTCAGATTGATAAGATTAAAATTGTATTAAAACCGGGATATCAGAATTCTATTGACATTAAATTAGACCGGACTGGACTTAAATGTGTAGATGGACTGAACCGGATCGAACTTATAAAAATAGACTGCTCAATGATTTAATCCAAAAGTAAAAACCGTTTTAGACTTGCCTGAAACGGATCGTGCCGAGCTCTAACGAAAATAGAATTATAGAAATTTAGAAAGTTACCTATCAACTTTCTCTTAAGTATTTTAAATGTAATTGAATTTGAATATTTAATTTGCAGTATTATATGAGTATTTCAAGTTTTTAGAAATTTGCAAAATTTCATACTTTATTGCCGTATTTATAATATTCGTATTAGTTATACTATACTTAATGTAATAAACATGCATAATATATTTTTCGCGATTATATACATAGTATTAAATTTCAAGATATTTTTACTCGCAACTCACATGTAAAACTGGTATTCAAGGTGAAACTATTACGGTCGTAATAAATCGTTTCACAACAAATGGCTTGTAGCATCACACAAATAATTTCTCCACGAGAATGCGCAGTTATTTTGACTTAAATTTTGAATTCTGAGTGTAACATTCGTCTGTGTAATTTTATTATTGTCAAAAGTCAATGAAAAGATTCTGGTCAAAAAAAATGTTATCCATATATTATACATACCAAATAAAACTACGAAAAAGACTAGCAAAATTTAAATGTTTATATACAAAGAACAAAAAAAATCTACACCTAGTTCTAATTTACTACACCTAGAAAAAGCATGCATACGTTTTCTGTCAACATTTGAAGTTACTATGATTATTTTTAACTGATCATAAACAAAATAACAACATTTTTCCTAGGATAATGGGGACGTGTTAGGATATAGATGGAAATTTAATGTATATCTGTAAACAATGATTAACCATTGCTAACGAACAGTCGATTCTGAGTAGAGTTCGGTTGATGGTGTTGCTTTGTCAACAATATAATAGGTGTAATATTTTGGTAAAATAATTACATATGCATTAAACATTTTCTTTAACAATATTTTTAAATATTGTACCTATTTTCTCGTTCTCTCAGTTTTCTCTTTCTCCCCCCCCCCGGTTTTTCCGATTTATTGGGAAAACTCCTAGGAAAATAAAAAATTGACTTCTCTAAAGTACTTTCCCAGTCCGATTTTTTTCAAAAAAAGTGCTATGCTTGATACTTCGGAGCAAAGTTTCTGGTAGAATTTTTATACACAGAGTAGAAAAAAAAAAAAAAAAAACATTGTAAAAACAATACACTCTTCGCTACACTCAAAATCTAAAAATAAAAATTATCAGACCATTTGTTTTCGTAAACTTTCCCGTTCTTTATTCCTTTTTTCGATTTTTTATCAACGAGATATATATATATATATATATATATAGTATTCGTAATACATTAGCATAAATCGTAGAAGTACCTCTGTACACGTATATTATTTATGTACATATCGCTGCATAATATATAATATTATACTATATTATCAGTATTATAAATAAATATCATAGTAGGGAGGTGTATACAAACAATATACCTATTTATTTTCTCCTAAAGAATGTTTAAAAACCAGTCGAATAGTATAATGATACAGCCATTAGGCGCATATACGCACGCGCGCATGGTATATTAACTAAACAAGTCACCGGGACACAACAGTCGAGTTTGAAATTCGTTGTGGTTCGACGCCGGTCACAAAACCGAAATCACTTATCACAGTTAACCGAATAAAAATAATATATTGATAAATAATAGTTCTTTTTTTTCTTGTCATTGTGCATCAATAATACCGGAAAATAATATCGCAATGGCGTATAAAATTACGGAAGCCGTACAATGCGGTATTGTGTACGTTGTGGTCGCGGCAATCGTAAACGCGGCTCCTTCGTCGAAATTACGTGAGTATAACGTGTAATACCTAGTTTACATTCAGCCGCTTCCATTGCTACTTGCGCTGCCGTATTTAGAGCTCTTGTTAACGGCGACGGACAACGGTCCGTTTTCTACAACGGACCGTTATCCGTTGCACAGTGTTGCATAGATTAGTATATTTGATTGTTAATGCACCGGACAACNGCACGTTGCAGTGAACCACGCTAGTCTATACGAGTGTGTTGACAACGCCGGTATTCGCTCCGTTTTTTTTCAATTCTCAATTTAAAATCAAACTTAAAACCTATGAATATGGATATTGATATCGATATTGAAATGTTGATTTCCCTGGTTGAAAATAGACCTGTGCTTTGGGATAAAACTTTTTTTTCTATTTGTTTTTAATTTTAGGAAAAAATGTTATAAAAAAATGGAATAATGCAAGAGATAATTGGATGAGATGTGATATAAACATGCCTTAATTTATCTTGTACTAATGTTAATAATTTTTGAAATGTTACTTGACTCATTCGAAAGAAATTAAAAAACTTTGTTTCGTCTTTCTTTAAATCTTCAAAAAGAGTGCAGAAAATTCCATAACTTTTTCTTTCCAATAAAATAGGATGTACCCACATTTTTTTCTTTCTTTTTTCTTTCTGCTGCATTTTTTTGNGTATCCGGTAAAAAAACGGACGTTAACAAGAGCTCTAAAGATACTTCTGTGACAGCGTCGACGGCAGTGAGTGTTTACATTGCCCTGCTAATTATAGCAGCGCGAGCAGCAATTGACCGGATTGGTCGCATTGCCGGTTATGTTGCCGCTCACGCTGCTCAGTTTACCGCTCTTGACGGGAACGCCGGGCAGCGTCAGTGCGAGGAGTATGATCAGCGCGAGTGACGTGTTTACATACTCGCGCTGCCCATTTTTATGCTCACTTCCCTACTCACTGCCACGGAAGTGGGCTGAATGTAAACTAGGTATAATATTTTAATTGTTGATTTTGGAAAGAATGCATTTATTGAATAAATCCTCTATAGATGATAGTTTCAAATGAATACAATTTTTTTTTATTTTTAAAGAACCAGTGAATACGAATTCATTCATTTTATGTCGGAATGTGAATGGAAATTATACAATTCCAAAAAATATGCATGTTGAAATTATAAACACCATAATGATATGAATAATAATTAATAATTATAATAAATGTTTTTTTTTTGCTTTCTAATTTTATACTGAAAGTTAAAAAGATACATATTTCGTATGATGGATGAGCCACCATTATTGGTGAGACGTATGAGAAGGTAGGATATAGAGAGGAATTTATTGTATATCTGTATGCAACGATTAACCACTGCAAACGAAAAACGATTCTGAGCGGAGTTCGATTATAGATGTTTTAAAAGGGAGTAATATTTACGATTTTCGTCAAAATTTGGTATTAAAATACGTATAAAAAAAATGCTATATTAAGCTCAATATTTTCTTATTGACCACCAAGTACAATACTTGTAATGAATCTCTTGTGAAATATTCAAGCATTTATATTTGGTCTAACCATTTTATCCACAGAGTGCCTACCGAATAAAAATTACATAAATTACTCGCAAATATAAAATTTCTATAAATAGCTCAGATGTTTTAAAAATTATACCATGACTAGAAAAGACAAGTATAAGTTTTATGTTCAAATTTAAAATCACTACGAATAATTTTAATTAAATTACAACAAAATAATAAAATTGAAAACAATATAATCATTTCTTATTATAAATTTTTCTCATTTTTCTTACGTTTTTTCTCGGTTTTCACTAATTATTATAAAAAACCCATAGACAATCATAGAGTCACCTGCCTAATGCACCAGCTATATAAAATGAGAAAATGGGCTACATTTGAAGATCAGAGCAAGATTTCTAGTAGACATTTTATGTACAGAATAAAAAAAATAAATAATCACTGTTAAACCAATACATTCTTCGTTTCACTCTGAATCTAAAATTAGTATCTAATCTAATATTATTAAATTATCTGGCCTTTTCTAGCTCTTATACGATTTTTCCCGGGTTTTCTTAATCATTATGAAAACCTCTTGGAAAATTACCTTCTCAACTAACTAGATCCAAAATGCAACAAAAAAGATCTCTTATCATTGTTTGATGGGAGCAAGATTTTTGATAGAGAAGTGAAAAAAGCAATATTAAGCATACATTATTATAGTAAAACCAATACATTTCTCACTACGCTCAGAATCTAAAAATAAATCAAAACTTTCTTATGAACCAATATTAACCACATAGATATAGCATTCTCATATCACACTAATTTCGAGTTTGTCGACTAACTTGTTGACACAAAGTTTATGTATCTAACATAGTCTAATATCATTTTCACAAACTCGTATTGTTACAGCGAGTGGTTTTATTCAATGCAGTAAAAGCGATCCTAATATCGGCGAATGTTTACGGGACGGACTTCAAAAGGCTATTCCTCATATGGTACAAGGTAATTAAAATTAATAAAAAATTAATACTTACACACTTTGGCGTATTTTTAATAATGCATTTTTTTATTGTACTTATATAACTAAATGAAAATGTATATCGTATATTTTTAGGTATTCCTAGTTTGGGTATGATTAAAATAGATCCGTTGCGAATTTTGTCGTTGAAAATTGACCAAACCAACGGACGGATTATCATTAACATGAACTTTACGGATGTCGATATAATCAATCTGAAATATGTACAGGCGAAAAAGGTCAAGTGAGTTGATTTTATTAACAATAGTAGGAACGTACGTTTTTTATTTTGTTTATCAAATTAATTGCGTGACAAAATAGTTATGATGTCGAAAACTATCGTCTTCATTTCGAGACATTCGTTCCAAAGTCTATAATAATGGAAGGAGACTATGAATTAGACGGAAAAGTGATGGGCTTTCCGATCAAAGGCAAAGGAAAATCTAAATTTACTTTAGGCAAGTATAATAGGATTTATAACTTTTCAACTAAACGTACCTATTCATTTGAAATACATGTAACTTATTTTTATTTTTCGTTTAGACGTTTCAAAGTATAGCGGTGACGTACAATTGAAACCGGTGGTCAAACAAGGAGAAACCTATTTGGAAATCGTTGACGTCAAATGGACATTTGTACCGACATTTTTGGACATAAAACTGGACAATTTATATGGAAACAAAGAATTGAGTATGTTTGATTTGTTACAATAATAGATAATACAAAATTATATATAACAATTAGATCTATATTCTGTATAGCCTACTCAGTGGCGTGGAATGCATATAAACAGTGTAAGCTTTGCTTACACTTTCAGTTCTGAAATGTTATAGGTGTATTTTTAAATGAACAATATATGCCATAATCAAGTTTTAGTAATGTAAAATTATATTATATTACATTTTGAAATTTTGAAATCGTATAAGGAGATAACATAATATGAGCAATTTTCAAACGTGTTACACGACCAATCATCGTGATTTCAATAGCAGGATACTATTTACTATATACTAGTACTATCAGCGTTGGTACGACCACATAAGACACTGCTATGTTGGAACTCTCATTAGTCATTTTCACTTATTGACTTGAATAGTTCAAAATATTATGAATACTTGATAGGGCCTATTTAGGACTTATGGTTAATTATTTAAATTATTTTTGATTATGTTATAGCGACTCTCTGAATGTGATAGAGGTAGATGAAGGTACAGGTAGGTATACTTTTTTTGGTGATTGCTTATACCACTGACTAAATCACGCTACGTCATTGAGCCTACTCTCTATAGTCTATGGTAAAAGAGTCTCATAGAGATATGAAGTCAGCAGTCGTATACTAAGAGAGCAGTAGTGACCTGAAACCTCGTACACATTATTTGGTCGGCTAAATAAATAAAAAGACCCCTCCATGTAGGTAAAATTAGGAAGACATGATGCCCACCTAACCCACTAAAAGTTCTCCTAAATATATCAAAAATAATATAATTAGCCCTTAAGCCCTTAAGAAGGTTAAACTAAACAAATAAATTTACTATCCCCCTATAGGTCAAAACCTTATACCAAAAATCCATCAATCTTGAGCCCTTCTTTAATAAATATAATTGAAATATATAGTATTTATTTTTTATGTTTGTACTTACTTGAAATTGAGTGTTTTGGTGTAGTATATTTTACGGAATTATTATGCAATATTAAAATTATTCTAAACTTTGTGGCCATTGGTACATTGTATTTTAATATTTATCTCTAAAATGAACCTAGGTATAAAATATTGTAGCTTTGTAGCTCTTTTTTTATTTTTCATCTTATTTTTAATAATTTGAAATTTTGGATTTCTGAAATATTGAAAAAAAAAGCATAGACATAATGTCATTAATTTTGGTTGTTATCTAAAATAACGTATTTTTCATGTTATCAGATAATTATAATGAAAATAACAAATATTTCATGGGTTAATTAATGAAATTTGCCCTCTTAGTATATTGATAGCTTGCAAGTTTCACACTATACTCATAATAGTTGGATATCTGGTTATTGTATACATATATCCGTGGTTACAATCAATACAATAATTATCTGCAAGTAAATTATTTATCAAATAATCGATATTTATTATGACAGGCAAGAATATGAATGTATTCTTGAACGAAAATTGGCGCGACATTTTATACGAATTACAACCAGCTTTTGAGGAAGTCCTGGCCGTTGCCTTCGGTGAAGTTGGTAAACAATTTCTCAAACGTATTCCTGAAAACGAAATACTTCTCCCTTAAACGTTAGGTTCAATGTATTTATTTTATTTATTTATTTATACAGTTATATAATAATAATATTTAATTTAATTTATAAACATAAATTTTACAATATTTTATTTAATGTTAAAAATTATTATTCTAGAATCTAAAACTAAACACCCACGTAAAAAATGTTTAAAGTTTTAAATTACAAATTCCATTTTACCTATTAATAGATGCCTGGTTTTTAGAAAACATTTTATTGTAATTATTTTAGTGTCCAAACTCTTGGACCCACTTGATTATCTTATTTATTGTTGTTATTTCATAAAACTATTATAAATATCATAAGAGTTTTTGTTTGTATTAAAATTTGTATAAATATTATGTTTTTGACTTTAGAAATTACTTATATGTAATTTAGCTATTATATAGTAATCTATTTACATGGTATTATATTATTGTGAATCCATTTTGTCATTATACTACAATATTTTTGTTATTATATTTATAATGGACTTGCATTAGCAAGGAATATATTTTGTAATTTGTTACCTAACTAACTTGATTTATTTTTACTGTTGTCACGGACCCCCGACCACTCTTATACTAGTTAGAATAGTTACTAGCTAGAATAGGAAGGATAATTATAATAAGTAGATACCAAGAAGATGAGCTGGACACATTGAGTTTTTTTTTGTAATTTTTTTAAAAAAAATATACTTAGGTGCACAGTGCTTGAATTGGAAAAATAAAAGAAGAGGGTTTACAAGACTTTGATGAAACTTGTGTCTCTAGTAATTATTGAACTCAACTTTTTAAACATAAGTAACTGGTCATAGCCATTTTAGGTAAACATAAATGCGTGGTCTTTTCAAATAAGTCTATAATATTTTATTAGAAATTACAATAAATAACATTGCCAACAATATTGCATCCGGTTATTAGAAATAAAGCTCGGTTGGGTAAAATTAAGTGATAAAAATAAATCTAGTTAGTAGAAATATTCCAAATCTCAATACATAAAGTATAAAATGTTGTTAAATATTATTTGTTGAAGTTGAAGTTGAATGTTGAAGTTTTCAAAATATTACAGTGGCTTCTGATACAATTATAACCATATGAAATTTTTGAATAGGTATGGTCTTATTGTATGTGTATCTTCATTGTTATTTCCGACCAATACATGAAAAATGTAAATAATTATTCTCATAAATTGTATATATTACTGAATATTCATTTAAAAGTATCCAAAATTCAAATTAAAGCATTTTTTTTTAAAGAGAAATGGAAGTTAAAATGTATAAAATTAAAAAGATAAAATATATAGAAAATATACAATCACTAATAAACATGGTTTCTGTGCTACCTTTTTTAGAGGGAATACAAGATATATTTTCGGTAATTCTCGACCAGTGTACACTCATCGCTTCATTCATATAAGGCGGCAAATATAATTTATGAAAAATGTCTCGATTATTTTATTCGTTCGGAATGCATATTTGATAGATAATCCCTCGTTCTATTTTATCGAATAATAGGACTTGAACTATGGTTCATTCTAAAATATTATATTTGAACGTTTATGACAAATAAACATGAAAGAGATTTAACCTCCCACAAAATATGGTTTTGTGCTACGTTTTGTAGAACCATTATTTTATCGTTTGATAGATAAAAAAAAAAATAAAATTAATTTTCGTATTATGCTGAATTTAAAAAAAAATATGCTCCGGAAAGAATAATTTTATTTTCGGTAGTTCTCGACCAGTGTACACTCATCGCTTCATTCATATAATGTGGCAGTTATAATTTATGAAAACTTTCTCGAATATTTTATTCGTCCGGAATTCATATTTGATAGATGATCTTCCGTTCTATTTTACCGAATAGCAGGACTTGAACTATGTTTCATTCTAAAATATTATATTTGATATTTTGTAGTAATTCAAAAATAAGGCGGGGAGTGCCTAGTTACGTAAAATCGATTTACACGTATAAATTAATTATAAATTTGATTACCTTTCTTCTTCAGGCGGCAAATTGATCTGTTGAATTTGATAAAGGTGACCGTAGTAAATAAAAAGATTTTTAATGTAACAATTGTTTTTTATTTATTAATTTTTTTTTAAAATATAAAGCACTTTTCTAGGTTCCCGTGCTTTTGTCAGAATCTCTGCGTAGTCTTTTACACTCGCTTGTGATCATCTGTCCAAAAGCAACGGGAACAATACATACACTCTGTGTTTATTGGAAGTGGCCGGCCTCCTTATAACTGGAGAAATATGTGTGTGTATGTGTGTGTGTAAATGTGTTATCTTAATTTGGTTAATACTAACAACTTAATCTAATAATTAATGACTACAAATTATTATAATTATTTTACAATATTGATTATATAATTTATTTTAATTATATATGATAGCTTAAGTATTATCTCCTTACGATGAGTAAATATCGTACTAAAATATATGTTATTTGATAATAAAAAAGAATGGAAACGGATGT